GTGTGTACACTGACTCATGGTGGAGACCGATGACTGCAGCCTCACTTTTGTTAACCAAAATTGGAATTTGAAGCCCCAAATCCAAGGCATCTGGAAAGTGACAGCAAAGGTCACAATTATAATGGAAAACAGGAAAAAGGAGGAGCAGGAGGGAAGACACGGGACATTAAAGCTTTCAAAATGGCACGGCTGCCCCGCCACTTGGGACTGTGTCTCTTTTTAGATCAATGAGCTGGTGCTTTTTTGGATGCTGGGCACGTGTAGCTGTGTCCACTGAACCGTGGATTGCTCTATCAGTAAAAGCTATCATTTACCTTACACTGACAGTTTCCCACAAGGCAAACTTAGATTTCCCAGAAGCAAGTGTCCTTAAACATTTGTCCAATTTTAAATTACAGGCCAAATTAGGCTAACTAAATTCATGTCCTCTTACTGTGATTCTGAGGTCACATGATAAGGCTCTGCCCTTCCCCTGCCCAAGGCTAGATGTGGGCATAGCTTTTATTCCTGTGGTGCACTGCTGTGGAACTCCCTCAAAGGGCACCGGACGGGCCTGGCAAACCCACGCTCGTGCAGAATTTGTAGCATCAGATGCTGGAAGCATTACATACAAGCCTACTGAATTTTTTTAATTGAGGCGTGGTGGGCATACAATGTTACATTAGTTTCTGGGCATACAATGTTACGTTAGTTTCAGGCGTTTAACAGTGACGTGTTGATTCTGCAGGTTAGGCTGTGCTCACCACAGTGGAGCCACCATGGGTCACCAGACAACACTATTACAATTCCATTGACCATATTCCCTCAGGTGTACCTTTGATTCCCACGACTCATTCCATAACTGGAAGCCTTTGGGTCCCACCCCCCTTCACCCGTTTTGCTCACTCTCCACACCTCCACCCCCACCCCGCCTCCTGAATTTGAATCTTTTCAGATGTATTATTAACATAGTTATGAAAAAGTATGTTTTTTCTTTATTAATGGATGAACCGTTTGATATTAGCAGTTGCTAACACCGTAAAAGAGCAAAGTTTAGAATAAATTTGTTTTGTACCCAAAGAAGAAGCAGAGGTCATTTGGAACTTGGTTGAGCAATCATTCCTGGATAAACTGCCTTCTGGGGTGTGGCTCAGGATGCTGCCCCAGGGCCTTTACTGCTGCCGTGGATCTCAGACTGTACTGAGTATCTGAATCACCTGGAGGGCTGGTTAAAACATGGGTAGCTGGGAACCCCATCTCCCATGCCCCCCTTCCCCCCATTATGGAGAGTTTGGGAAAGTAGCTCTGGGTTGGGCCCAGAGATTTAGCATTTTTAACAAGATCCCAGGTGATGCTGACCCTGCTGATCTGGGACAGCTATCTGGGCATCCCTTAATAAACAGGGTTTATTTTGCCATACACAGGTTAGGAATTTTATTAACATACTAATGACATTCTTTTGAGTTATTCATGTTTCATTTAGAGTCCAAAGGCAGGAAAAAAACCCCAATGTCCCAGCTCAAAGCAGGCAGGAGGAGTTCCCCCTTCCTCACAGGAGGGTCCACCTTTTCATTCTATGCAGGCCTTCCACTGACTGCACAAGGCCCACCCACATTCAGGAGGAAGTTGGCACAATCTACCAATCTACCAATCTACCAATTCAAATGCTACTCTCTTCTGGAAACACCCTCAGAGATGCACCCAGAATAATGTTTGACCAAATATCTGGGTACCCCGCAGCCTAGTCAAGTTGACACAAAAAATTAACCATGACATGGGGCTTTCTTCAAAGTCTACCTAGAGAATTATGGCACAGGGTGAATGTTTTATTTGGTAAAAAGTAGGGGGAACTTCTGTATTTGAGATTCATGTTCCAGTCAGGGGTTTGTATAGCAACAGATCATCTTGTCAGTTACCATTTAATACTTGCATTCTGCCTTTCTAATCCCTAACTAGCTTTAGTTGTAAGGCTAAATTAAATAGCAGTGAAAAAAAAATAAAACCTAACCAGGGAAACAATATCACAGTACCATGATTTACATGTCCTCTGTTTTGCCTAGGAATGCCTTTCACACATTGATTACTCCAAGGATCATTAGTATCAAGTGTCAAAATGTACAGAGTGATTCTTTGCATTTCTCAACATGGATATTTAGCTGACTTTCAGTCTTTGGTGTACTTTTTTTAAGATTTATTTATTCATTAGAGAGAGAAAGAGCGTGTGAGTGTGTGGGAGTGGCAGGGGGAGGGGCAGAGGAAGAGGGAGAGAAACAGACTCTCCACTGAGCGGTGAGCCCATTGCCAGGCTCTATCCCAGGTACCCCGAGATCACAACCCTGGCCAAAATGAAGAGCTGGTTGCCCAGCTCTGCCTGAACCACCCAGGGGCCCTTCTTTGGTGTATTCTTCTTCTTCTAAGATTTTATTTATTTATTTGAGAGAGAGAGCACAAGCAGGGGAGAGGGGGCAGAGGGAGAGGAGAAGCAGACTCCCCGGCTCCATCCCAGGACCCTGAAATCATGACCTGAACCAAAGACAGATGCTTAACCAACTGAGCCACCCAGGGACCCCCTTTGGTGTATTCTTTTATTAGTTCACAATGGACAGCTGTTGTCATAAAGGACTAAATAAAAAAAATCAATTTTTTAAACATTTTGTTGCCCACACACAAAAAATTTTCTTGATTGAAATTTTGCTAAGAATCAAGCGGATAACATCAAATACACACACACATATGTTTTTAAAAATAATCTATTTTGCCCTGTTTTTAGGCTAAGAGGCAGCAAATAACTCTGATTTCAGCTTTTTTTTTTACAAAGACATAATTTTTCATCTTAGGAACTACCCACTAAAACATGATTTCAAGGCCTCAATAGAGTTACTGAGTTGTTAGCCTTTTTCACTCCAATTCAATTAAATAAAATTAATGAAATAGTCATTGTGAAAATTTCATTGGAGATAACAAAAGAAAATACTAACTGGCTCAACAACATCATTACCAATATAATTACAGCTTTGTATAAAGTGACATTTGCTATGGTGATGATTAGAAAATATTGTGACATGAGTGTGGATTTTTTTTATTGATTTTTTTAAAGATTTTATTTATTTATTTGAGAGAAAGGATGAGAGAGAGAGCATTCCATCACTCTGTACAAAAGAATGCCCTGTCTCCAAAGTAAAACAAATTACAAGCTATTTAGCAAATAAGACAGTCTAATATTAACCAGAATCACCACTGCTCTGCATGCAAGTATGAGTAGATAAAAAACGGAAACTGCAAAACTTCTGTGTAATTTTGCTAATGCAAATCATGGTAAAGATTATTCTGAATTTACTTAATAATTTTCAAATACATTATGATACAAATTACATCATGTTTCAGTGACTATATCTTGTTTAAACAATAAAGTGGTTCATGTAGTATGTGTTTTTGTTTTATCAAAAGAATGCCATTAGTGTTGTTAACAAACTTATCTACCTGTATATGGGCCAAATGAACTCTGTTGTGTCAAGAGATGCCCATATTTGGGTGCCTGGGTGGCTCAGTTAAGTGTCTGCCTTCGGCTCAGGTCATGATCTCAGGGTCCTGGGATCGAGCCCCACATCGGGCTCCCTGCTCGGTGGCGAGTCTGCTTCTCCCTCTGCCCCTCACCCTGCTAGTGCTCTTTCTCTCTCACTCTCTCTGTCTCTCTCTCTCAAGTAAATAAATAAAATCTTAAAAAAAAGAGAGAGAGAGAGAGATGCCCATGTTCAGCTCTGCCTCGGAGACAACTTTTGCTTTTCATGACAGTGCACAGGACCTTACACTGGGTTGTGGGCCCTTCCTAACATTTCTCATTAGCTTTTTTTCCGTGCCAACCACCACCACCCCCAACCCAAACCCAAAACTAGCCTTCTCAGAAAACATTGCGAGTAAAGGCATTGTAGGAATAATCTAACCTTGAATTGTCTCAGCTTTCTATAAAATGAATAGCATATGCTAAGCGTTGGTATTTTAACTATTAGTTTAAGAGACTTGGAGCAGAGCTCACAAACAGCAGTGACCTGGAAGTTCAAAATTGCTGCTCCAAAGAATACTACCACTGTCCCCTACCCACACAGAGCAAAAACTGGCAAACATCAATTCTATGAAATAGCTTTACATACCAGTGAGCCTAGAGAAGCTGGAGAAGAGGGCAAGAAGATGTAAACAATACAAGGGGTATTACATAATTTATCAAACACTGGCAACTGAAAGCATATTTAACAAAAACACCACTCTTGGATGAGGAGACTAATGATGAAAGGGACTATATTTAATCATGATCATGTTCTCCCAAGTGGCAAATTCAGAACCACAGCCTTAAATTCTTACAACTAATTTTAATCTACAGTAAAGTTCTACCATGAGGCATTTTGTATGTTGCTTTGCTTAGATGATAGTTCCAAGCACAACTTGGTTTTAAGGAAAGTGCATGGTACATCGCACCATCGGCCAGCTTGGTCTGCAAACCATGGTTTAAGGAAATTCACTGTATTATAATGAACATTTCTGAGCTCCGTGCTAGGCATTTATGCTCCAGAGATGAGGAATTTATGATCCCTGCTCTTGAAGAGCTAAGTGCAGGGGAAAATGCTAGACATCTGCTGCTATCTTTATTTCTAAATCACTTAGAAATAAGGTTGTAGGAGACCTAGGAAGGGAGAGTGGCTCAGGCAATAGGGGACCCCGGTTCACCACCCCATCTAACCCTCCCATGTGTTGGGTTGTCTGGGGAGGTAGAGGCAGAGATGGCAGGTGGGGGTGGGGGATGGTGGGTTAGGGCTGGTGGAAGGAAGATTGGGTGAAATACAATTTACTAATTTTGGAAGTCTGTGTGAGCCTACTTAGCAGGGTGTTTCTCTAATCTTGGTAAAATCTAATAAAGACTCCTATTTGTGGTGATGGTACGTTAAGGACTCAATGCCTAAATGAAATGATAAGTAATGTAGTTAAAAAGAGAACATTATAAAGCTTCTCTTTCTTTTTATATTTTTAAGGACAAAAGAGAAGAACAAAATGGAAAATATGTTATTTTGTTGGATATTTTTCACCCTTGGGTGGACCCTCATTGATGGATCCGAAATGGAACAGGATTTTATGTGGCACTTAAAAAAAATCCCCCGGATTGTCAGTGAAAGGACTTTCCATCTCACCAGCCCCAGCTTTGAGGCAGATGCTAAGATGGTGCTCAATAGAGTGTGTGGCATTGAATGCCAGAAAGAACTCCCACTTCCCAGCCTTTCTGATCTGGAAGATTCTCTTTCCTTTGAGACTGTCTTTGAGAATGGCACCCGAACCTTGACCAGAGTGAAAGTCCAAGATGTGGTCCTTGAGCCCACTCAAAATGTCAGCGTGAAAGGGGCATCTGTTAGGAGGAAGAGACAGGTGTACGGCACAGACAGCAGGTTCAGCATCTTGGACAAAAAGTTCTTAACCAATTTCCCTTTCAACACAGCCGTGAAGCTCTCCACGGGCTGCAGTGGTATTCTCATTTCCCCCAGCCACGTTCTAACAGCTGCCCACTGTGTGCATGATGGGAAGGACTACATCAAAGGGAGTAAAAAGCTAAGGGTAGGGTTGTTGAAGATGAGAAATAAGGGTGGTGGCAAGAAACGGAGGGGTTCTAAGAGGAGCAGGAGAGAAGCCAATGGTGGCGACCAGCGAGAGGATCCCAAAGACAATCTGGAGAGAGCCAAGGCTGGAAGAAGAAGAAAGGAATCTGGTCGGGGTCGTAGAGTCCCTGAGGGGAGGCCCTCCTTCCAGTGGACCCGGGTCAAGAATACGCACATTCCCAAAGGCTGGGCCAGAGGAGGGAAGGGGGATGCTGCTTTGGACTATGACTATGCTCTTCTGGAGTTGAAGCGCGCTCACAAAAAGAAATACATGGAACTAGGAATCAGTCCAGCCATCAAGAAGCTGCCTGGGGGAATGATCCACTTCTCAGGATTTGATCATGATAGGGCCGATCAGTTAGTCTACAGGTTTTGTAGTGTGTCCGACGAATCCAGTGATCTCCTCTATCAATACTGTGATGCCGAGTCAGGCTCCACTGGTTCTGGGGTCTATCTGCGTCTGAAAGAGCCAGACAAGAAGAATTGGAAGCGCAAAATCATTGCAGTCTATTCAGGCCACCAGTGGGTCGATGTCCACGGTGTGCAGAAGGACTACAATGTGGCGGTGCGCATCACTCCCCTCAAGTACGCCCAGATCTGCCTCTGGATTCATGGAAATAACGCCAACTGTACTTACGGCTAACAAAAACCTGCAGTGAGTCAATGGATTATTTAAATCGCAGAGCACTCCAGTTATGATTATTGTAGCAAGATCACTTCCTAGGTTATGCCTGGACTCGAACGCTATCAACAACATTTTTATAAATTTATTGTTTCAAAATTAGGAGATTTTCATCTGTTTAAAAAATACTTAGGTATAAATAACTGAAACTAGATGGGCACCTCAGTGTCAAGTATATATCCTTTATAGGGTGATAAGTATCATTTATGGGAAGTCTTTTGTTTCTTTCTGCCTTCTTAAGATTAGACACTTTAAAACTTCAAACTGGTACCATAAATAATATGTGATTTCTTAAGGGACTTATTCTCAGGGTCCTACTCTATCAAGAATCTAATAGGGTGCTGGCTGCATATTAAATGGGAAACTGCATATACACATAGAGACAGTGACATGATTAGCGTCAGGGTAGAGACAATAATTTACAACAGCTTGTGTTACTTGGAGATGGACCCATTCAACTCATGCCCTCCATGTTTATATAGTGTTTTCTCTTGGGTCTGAGAAGCTTTGGTTTAGTTGTTGGTGGTGGTGTTTTTAAGAATTACAAGATACAGCAAATTTTATAAAAAAGCTAACAACTATTTTACTGCTTTAAAAAATGTCAGCTGAAGTGTGTATTATTTAAAAATGGGAGAAATACTTTGTTCTATGAAATGAATCTAGTTTAAAAATAAGGAAGCTGAGATATTTTAAGATCTCAAGGTTTTATTTAACTAATGTTCGGAACGTGGACTTTTCATGAAGGCAGAAGGAAGACAGTTCACAAGTTATAAATGGTCATGTTTTGAAAGCCTCTTCATTTAATGCTAGTCTTCTATGTATGAGATGTTAAGAGTTTTAGGACCAAGAATTTTAGTCTTTCTCAAGAGAGAGCCTTTTTCCCCTTGATAGATTTCGGCTTTCTTAATAGGGCCACACACATATTATTTTGGCAATTTCTCTGACAAGCAGTTTTAGATAAATCCCTAAAAATGAATATAATTTACACATACAGTTTTTAAAAGAAGGTTCTGATTCTTTTCATCACGGGCCAAGGCTGCACACTCGCTCAGGCCGTCATGGCGGCCCCAGCAGACAGAACCAATGGCTGTCTTCAGGCAAAACACAGTCGTTTCTCACACATTTCTTGAATGAACAGATATTTGCTGGATGGTAGTAAAAGTGAGTTTGTTCAGGCCATTATGTCTAAAGGGTTTTAGTGATTTGCAGTTGAGTGTACCATAAAATTCAGGAATTGCAAGCCTAATTTCTGGTCTGCTATTTTTGGCAGTTTCTAGGGCACACATTCTTTTCTCTCACTAAATCACTGATTCTGCCGGAGTTCAAATTTATTTTACTTATTATTTTTTTTTGAGAGAATGGGGAGTTATACCCTTGATTAGTATGCAAAGGAACATTTGATTAGGTTATAATAAAAAGTGATTTTGTATATCTTGTCCAAAATAGCTGGAATTCAGTACAAGTATACATTCTTTTGTAGTGTGAATCTGTTTAAAAATCATTCAATAAAAATAAAAAAAATAAATCAATCATAACTCTTACTATATCCACATATATGTTTTATATACAGGGTTTCAGCGAATATTAAATTAACTGTAGTTTACTAAAAAAATGATTTTATTTAATTCTAACTGCATTTCACGAAGCAGTATTTTATCATTGGTGCTAGTGGGATCGGGCTATTGACTCTAAACTTTTGATCAGATTTTTTTGGGGGAAACATCTGTATGATCACTGCAACTGAAAGTGCTTTGACATGAATTTTGCACACTTGCATGCTTGCAAATGCACACAATCTTCATCTTAGATTCTTAGAAAATAATTCCTGGGATTTCTGTAAATTCAGAATAACTTAAGGTATTTGGTGTCAGTAGTTTGGAGCTGAAGCTTAAATTCTGAATACATATGATTTCCTTAAAGTCATTGAACTTTCCGAAAATATAAAATTTAGCCTATTTTATTTGCAGGGGTTTATTTTATTCTGTCGTTCTCTTTTCTTTACCAAGTGAATCATGAATCTTATATGACCTATTTAGGACCACTAAAGTATGCTGTATTACTCAGAAAGTTTTATTTCACAATCTTTTCCTGTTACACTTACCAGATTTGAAATAGAAATTGACTTCATGTAGCTGAAGAAATACACTCTTGATGTCTTTTGCGTGCAAAGGTCTATAGTGAGTTTCTGCTTGAAGAAACTTATCAGTGATTTGAATTCAAATAACTACAGTATTTACAAAACAACTGAAATTTAAAATTGTGTGATTTTTTTTCTTTACTCAAATAATGTGTTTCATTTTATTTATGTTTTTTTCTTGCTCAAATGGTTGTGTGTGGGCAGAAGAGACAACATTTTTTTTTCTTTTTTGATGTGCTTACTTAAATCCCAAATGTTCTTTTCAAAAAAAGTTTTAAATGCATATGTGAGCAAGATCAGAGTTTAGCCTTTTTATTTGTAGATCAAAAAATACTTTGAAATTATTTTTTCATAGAAAGAATCTCAGGATTAGAAGAGACCATAAAGATCATTTAGCTTAACTCCAAAATTTAGATTTTAACTTCCCTCCATCACATTCCATTCAAGTGGTTTTCCAGTAATAAAAACTTCACCACTTAAATATTGGTTAGTTATTAAAATTAATTCAGGAATATAACTTACTATTTTAGTTTAAATTATTAGATCAGTTTGTTACATTCTGCAAAAATTACATTGTTTATCTTGCATTTTATCCCAATCTCCACATTTCAATTACTCATAATTCTTTGGCCTTCTGCTAGCAAATTGGGTGTTTACTCTTATCAAAAATGAATTGGGATCCTTAATTAAGAATATTGGGGTAAGGCAATAGAAGCAAACACTGAGCATTACAAAGATGTGGCTCTCTAGCCGGAAATAGCCTGGAAATAGGATCATATATTCTTTTATGTGGTGTCACTATAACAATTAAATATATTTTCGCTACTGATTTTAAAGATAACCTGCCAAGGCTTAAAAAATAGTTTTGTGTTTAGTAAACATCTCCAATTAATTAATGGAAGAATATTTCTAATAAATTGATTTTTTTCCCCAGCTAGAATTGCTCTTTCTTTAATGACCTAATCATAAGGCTCCAAGATACTTAGGAGATTTGGTTTAATTGATCATGAAATCATGTTCTCATCAGATGAGGTCAGTAGATAGGTGGATTCACGACTCTTTATTGATTCACCATTTAACTGAGGGGGAAAAACCGTCTTGGGTGGCTTTCTTTTCTCCTTACAAATAAAGCCTAGGGAGGGAAATTCCTTGTCTACTTCTTTCTGGGTTTGATAACTGGCAGTTTGATTCAGTTAGTTCAACTGTCGAGAGCACGGTGGCCAAATTAACTTGTAATCCAAATCTAGGCTAGTTTGCTTTACCTCCAGGTAAGGTGCTGTCTTCGTTAGTTTGGGCTGCCGGAAGAAAATACCATGGACTGGGGGGCTTAAACAACCAAAATTTTGCTAGGTACCATCTTGCTGTAGACTCATGTGACCTCTTCTTTGTGAACATTCAGAGAGAATGCAAATGAGCTCTTTGGTGTCTCTTCTTATAAGGGGATAATCCCATTATAAGGGCCCCACTTTCATGACCTCATCTGATTCCACACACCTTGCTAAGACCCCGTTTCCAAATAGCATTACACTGGGGGTATGCATTTGGGGGGTGGGAGCACAGTCGGTCCACAACAGGTGCCCATTCAAAAGCCAGAAGTTGTACCTTGCGCCGGGCCCAGGAAACCTCACAAACACAGCAGCCAACAGAGGAACAAGGTGAAGGTTGTGAATGGCAGCTCCCGGCAACCAAACTCTTTCTCACCACTTCTGTCATCATTACCTCGAGTGCTTGTATCTGGCACAGAGGAGGTGGCCAATACATGCTAAAAAATATCACCAAGTAAACATTGAGGCTTCCTCTTTCAGGGCATTACTAATTCTGTGCAACATGACAAGGCTCCGAAATGCTAGAGGTATTGTCTTAATTGTATATTGCACTAAAGCTACATCTACATCTTTAAATAATGGTAATATTTGTAATGAATTTTATCATGGGAATACTGAAGCAAGGCACTCAAGGAATCAGATGTTTGCAATATTCCCTCCCAACTCGTGTGTGTTTCTGATAAAAGGGCCTACAAACTGATGGAGCCAGGCCCCCGTAGTACCCCCATCCTCTCCATCTACCACGTAAACATGTAATCAGATCATCTCTGCCTCAAAATTGGCCCCTAAAATCTTTTTGCTTTAGTAATATTTAAAATTTTCCAATAACATCTTAAAATCCACTTACTTTCATCAAGCCCTGGGGGCAAGTAGGCTACTTAGCACATCTACTGCAATCTACACTGCAGTCCACGTGATCATGATCCATGATTGCATTCCAGTGTGGTGTTACCAAACTGAGGCTGTCACATTCCCATCTGTGTTTGTAAACATTTTACTAAAACAGAAACTCGCATTTATGTCATTGAAATCCTGTATGTATCGATTCGTAAGCTGAAAAAGTGTGTACACTTTCACCCATCGGGCACAGATAAAGGGAATACTTCAGAAACTGCTCCCACAACTGAAGACAGAGTTTGGAAGCTTCCTCCAGGCTCTTGCTCAGCCTGATGACCACACATTTCCTTATTCTTCTATATATTTTACTTCTAATTTCATCAGCAATTTGTACTATGCCATGCAATTAAGATCTGCTACCTAGAATTTCCCTTGTGGGCAATTTCAAATGTCCAAAATACAACAAAAAATATGAGGCCCAAAATGAGTGACATGAAATTACTTTTGCTGTAGAAATAATCTTAACAAATTTGGTGATCTAATTTCTCAAGTTACAGTTAGACGGTCGCTCGCTGCCAAGGGAAGTCTACAATAATCCCAAGAAGTGATAGCCTGACAGAAAAGGAGGATGCAGGCAAATCACTAAAGGACTTTTTTAAAAA